GATCTTGTAAAACTGCTATATACTTTGTTTGCCGACCATGTAGCTATTTGTGCCTATAGGCTTTTTTAAATATTTCTTGAGACAGGGTTTCATTATGAAGTTCAGGCTGGCCTTGAAGTCACTTTGTAGCCCAGGCTGGCCTCAAACTCTCAGTGATCCTCCTGCCTCAGCCTCCCAAGTGCTGGTATTATAAGTGTGCGCAAACACACCCAGCTCATGTGCCTACAGACTTTAAAAGACTCCAAATTCACACATTAATATGAAAAGCAATTATTATTCAAACTCCAAGTTAAAGTTTTATGATAAGACAGCTTGGGGCCATGGAGCATTCGTCCAAATTCTTCATTCAGTAAAAACCTAGTGCTCATTACCTGCTATGGTAGGTTCTGGGATATGGCAGTGAAACAGATACCCTAATTGGTGGTTCTGGGATAGGACAGGGAAACAGATGCCCTAAATGTAGTTCAGTTCATGCCACTGACTCAGTAGCAACAGTCTGAAACTAAGGAATCATAAACCTATTTAATAGTGCTATCATTTAGCCAGTATTTTTCTATCTTCGCTGAAGAATCATGTGAAACTGCCAGATGCTTTGCTAGAATTTCACTTAGGTAACTTATGAGTATAAACAGTACGTCAACACTAGGACTACAAAAATTAGTGAGCTATGAACCCTGCTCTTAAGAAGCTCATAATTTTGAGGAAGAGATAAACTCTACCTTGGCATTCCTCCAATCTGCCAGAATAGTGATCCCATAAAAATGAGTCAGCTTTATACTACTTCTTACTCTTCGCTGTAGCCTGCTGTGAAATTCATCTTTTCTCCCTTAGGGTTATAAGATGCAAATAATTATGGACTTGTCTCTCCTTTCCCATCTCTCAGCCAAGATGAATACATTTAGCTTTCTCCTTTCTTTTTAAAGTAGTTCTTCACTATAAATAATCTTTTTGGTGACTTTATTTAAATTCTAGAATTAAATTCCAAATTTAATTCTGAATTAAATTCTAGGATTCAAAGTACACAACTAAAATATTCCAGACAAGAACTCCATCATAATGAAGAACATCAACCTTTTTGGTTACACAATGCTCCTGTGTGTGGACTTCAGCACGTTCGCTTTCACTTACCTTGCATGTCATTTTGATTATATTACTCTAGTATGACAGTACGTTTAGTGCAAACTTACATTTACTCTAACTCTAAATATCTCACAGCAAATGAAAATTTAGAGGTGAGTACTCTAAAACAATGTACTAACAATGGGCAGAAAGCCTGATTTCATACAGCAACAGGAAATGAAGCAATTTTTAAAAAAGAATCTACTGACCAAAAGAGTAATTCTACTGTTAAGCTCATGAAAAACAATTTTTCAAATATTTTCATCATCCTCCTTTTTGACACTATATCGTTTGCTGTAGTAGTGATAGAGAACTCATCAGAGCTTTCAGATACCTTTGAGAGCTTCCATTGATAACAATCTGCTGCGACACGTGCCCTACGTTCGCCACCACTGCTCTAAACACAGTATTTTGCTTTTTTTCTCGCTAGTACTGGGGAATGAGCCCTGAATCTTCACACTGCAGTACATACTTGGCCCCTTTTACTTTTTATTTTGAGTCAGAATCTTACTAAGTTTCCCAGACCAGGCTTGACCTTGGGCTGCTCCTGCTTCAACCCCTCCAGCAGCTGGGATTACAGGTGTTTGCAACCAGGCTCAGCTTATAGTCCTGTACCTACTACAGAACATATCTATAAAGTAAACACAGAATTTGAATGTTCTACCCCAGAAAATACTTTAGCAGAAACCATGACAATGTGATTCAGTTATCAGGACTCCCAACCAGTGAGGAGTTGGGGAGCCCGTCTGAGACCAGAGGGTTTAATGTTTTGAATCTTATTACTTCAGTAATAAGTGGGTAAAATACAAATAAGCACTACACGAAGTCAGAATCATGCTCAAAGTGTACTCAACATTATGTTCATGCTATGGCTGAGGAAATAATCATCCGTGGTGGCTTCTCTGGGGGAGGTGGAATCCATTTGTTGTTCACAAACTTTTAGCACCTTTAAAGAGACACACTATGACAGTTAATCTTGACTGCCTTGAGAGACGCCTAGAAAGGAAGGCACATTTCTAGTGTACCTGGGCTGGTTGTGGAAGTGTGACCTTGGGGACTATGTCCCCTGACCCCTTCTCTGGGCTCTTCCCCTGCTCCCTACTTCCCACATGCTACAAGGTAAGCAGCTCTCCTCCACCACGTCCTTCCACTAAGGTGTTTCTGCCGTGGAGCTAGCGAACCACAGACAACCCTCTCTAGCTGTGAGCCGAAATAAGCCTCTCCTGCTTTAAACTGTGGGTGTCAGATATTTTGTTCCAGCAGGAGGAAGTTAATCAACCATCCAACAAAACTCTCTAGACTCCAGTTATCCATGGAGCCTGTCAAAACTATATAATCTTTCTGGGATAATCCAAGTGCTCTTCCCCTCAGATGTTTTACATTCAACATCTGCTTAGATTTCCTTCATCCCCTGAATCTTTCAATTCTACTTATCCTTCAGAGGTCAACTCAAATGTCACCTGCTCTTAAAGCTTTCCCTTTTCTCCCCAGTCAAAACCTCTGTCTATAGCCACAGGTCATATTCCCTCTTACCTAATCCTCACAGTGCAATTTAATTGTTTGAATGTATGTTATACTTCTCTTGGACTCTTTATTTTACACACAAGAGCAAACACTCAATCCAAAAAATGTATTGCAATAATCAATATTCTCAAAAATAAATAAATAAATAACAAAACCAAAGGCCCAGCACTGGCTGAGGGGTTGTGTGTACTTCTGGACTGGCCTCTCTTCCTTTTCCTCATACTGATAAATAATAGAAATTATTACTAAAGAATATTCTCACTGATATGCAATCACTGAATTTCCTCAACATTTACTGTATACAGGGTAGTAGTGTCCAAAACAGGATCAGATACATACCATGCCCGCTAGAGGGTTATCTCAGATATCTATATAAATTATAATGCTAACAGATAAATGTGCATAAGAAAATAAATACAAAAAGAACCAGTAACAAGGAGAGGTTGTTTCTAAGTAGCGATGGGTATGAGGACAAATTTTGACGCTTGTGTTGAGCCCTGAAAGACAGGCAGTATTTGAATATGGAGAGACAGAGGCAATGAGTTTTAAGACAGAGGAAATAAAGGCTGCTGAGGCAGGAAACTTTATTGATTGATACTGCGAACAATCAATACTTCAAAAGTATAATATATGTGGAAAATAACATGGGGAGAGAAAATTTCAAAGTCATTTAGAGTTAAATATGCTAAGACCCTGAAAGCCAAATAAATAACTATAGCTTTCCTCTATCAATAAAAAAGTATTTCAAAGTTGCTGAGCAGAGGCTAAGTAAAGAGCCCATAGGTCTAAAGTGGATAGAAGGCCAAACGGATCATTGAAAACAGGAAGGTGGTACTGTAAGAGAAGGAATCAGGTAGTACTGTAGAGGAGGGGGAAACACAGGACATGAACACAAACATAAGCGGAAGAGATATTTTAGTGATGGCAATAAACTTCACAAGTTCTCGATATGGAGGTCAAAGAAGGCTCTGCAAAGAGGTAAGAGATACTTTTAGGCTAGGAAGAGGGTGGTGCCACCACCAAGAGACAGGAAACTGAAGTAGCAACAAGTTTGGATGGAAGAAAAATGAACTCTAGTCATACTTTTGTCAGCGGACCTTTAGGTGACAAAATCACAAGTAAAATGTGTTACACTGTTCTAAGACAAAATATGCAATTTTATGAACTAAGAGAGAAGTGCTCAAATTAATCAAATATAAGATTTGGATCAGTTATTCAAACCTGATCATAACCTTGAAAATATAACTCACATTGGTCACATTAAGAATTTGGCAACATCATCATCATCATCTATGGAACTGAGACTGATCTAGAATAACTTCACATTACTAAGGACTATTTTAGAACATCATGGTTAAGGGCAGGCAGGTGGAAGTCATGAAGAATGTTACAATTCAACATGGTGTGCAAAATACTCCTGCTAAAATGACAAAGGCATCTTTTAGGGTCACTACCATTGCCCCAAGTGAACTACAATGCCATAACAGGAGGTGATCAAGTTGGATGTCCAGGCTTGGCGGACCAGGTACCAAAGGATACTAACTTGATCTCTCTATGTGTTCATCACTTTCTGTAATAAATACTTCTCAGTTAGTAAAACTGGAATCTACCTAGACTTATTTCCACCATATCCCTAAAATTCTTAAAAGCCTAAAAAATAAACGAAATCATTTTAAGGGGGACTAAATAAAATCTCCAATGAAAAACTCATGAGGATTATAGCAATTCAGCACCTGTTTTCCTAAGAAAACTAAAAAAATCTCATCAGTATAAACTAAAATGATAATGTGAAGATGAGCACCTAGCATGTAATCTGATGTTAACAGATGTCACATGTACACTAAATAAGTAGTGAGTAAAATCAAACATCTGAACTGTGGCTAAGTTGTCCAATATGTATATTTCATATGTTCAGTATATTCATTTATTTATCATCAATGCTGATAACAACTTTCTTTCCACCAGATGCAATGTCATTATTTCACCTTAGGTCTTACGGGAAAAAATGAGAACTAAGTCTTTACTAATGTTTTTACTGATGATCAACAATAATATAATTAAGAAACTGGCCCAAAATGTATTTGTTTCACATATAACTGCTCCACTAAAATTAATCACTGCTTAAAAATTAAATGAATATTTTAATTATGCATAAAATAATGGAGTGATAAACAGCAAATATTAAAAGTAATCTTTTGATTATAAGTTTATGGGTTATTTCTATTCTTTCTTTTCATTTATGTGTACTTTCAAATTTTTTTATACTTAATGTTTTATTATAATTGTACCAACAAAAAAATATTCTGTTCAAAGAGAAAGAAGAGTTATATTGGTGAATTTTAAAGAAACACACTTACCAGGTCTCTGTGAAGCACCCAGTTGGCATGGAGATAGTGGATACCATCAAGAATCTGGTAAAGTAATGACTTGACCATAGATCGTGGCAACTGCATGGGCTTTTTATTTGCTTTTGATGCTCGATGAAACTTGATTATATGCTAAAAATTTAAAAAATAGAATATACTATAATAACAGATAGTCTTGGCTAACATCTTTGTCAGTAAAACCCAGTCAAGGCTACCATAAATGCTCTAGATTCAAAGTTATTTTTCAAAGACCAATAATGACATAAAGAAAATAATTTTAATAAGGTCAATCAACATTGAATCTATCTGGGGAGTAAATGTAATCATACTAATGTGGGTTTCTAATACGAAATTTACTGAAACTATTAAGATTTTCATTAAATACGACCAAAAGTTACAAAGAGTTAATACATATTTAAGTACCTGCCTAAAAAATTTTAGTTCTCTACTGATGAAAGATTAAAAGAAAAAATAGAAGAAAAATTCAATCTTTACTATTCTCTAAACAGCACTGAGTGCATCTGGGTGATAGCACTATCAATAAGGATATCACTGTGTCAGTACAGAATGAATTAAGACATGGTCCCAAGGGTTAATATTACATAGGAACTAACTGGAAAGGAGGGGAAGGAAAGGATAGAAAAAATAAAGAAATTAATTGCCTTGCAATAAATACAACAGAATCATCATATTCTACATATATACATGGGAAATGAACCCTAGGCCTTCACACTGAGCTACATCATCAGCCCTTTTTCCACTTTTTACTTTGAGACAGGGTCTAAGATTTCCAGACTGGGCATGAACTTTCGACACTCTTGCCTCAACCTCCCAGAGTATTGGGTTTACAGGTGTACCTCACCACTGCCAAACTCATATTGAAATGTTTATATCTGCCTTGTATATACTACTGGTTATAAAAACACTGTAATAACAGGAAAGAAATGCTACTTGCCATCCCTAGCCCCCTACCTCCCACTTCCAACTCGACTCTACCTTCTATCTAAAATATGCCACAATGGACACAAAGGACTACTTAAAATCCTACTCATATAGCACTGGTGAAGTTGTCAGCAGGGTTCCAGTAACTCTAGATTGCACAAACAATTATTATGTTATTTATATAGCTTTCTTATTTTCATAAACTGTTCTACAACATTCACTTATTTTTAAGAAATACTCAAAAATTTGGGTTTATATAAATTATTTCCAACAGTAATATAACAGGAGGAACATACATAACTTTTTTTTTTAAAAAAATACATTTTTAAAAAAGGAAAAGAAACAGATAAAACTAATTTGTGCACCATGTTGGACAAGACAGCCCTACAGGATCTTATTGGTCCCAATGCATAAAACCTTTCATCATATCATTGATGTTCAAAGTGAAGTATGTATGTTATCAAGTAAGCCTTGGTAGAAATATATGGGAATGTAGAAAAATGGGGGGAAATAAAGTTTATCAATATCCTTGAAGAGAGTTGGGAAAAAACACTGGAGGGTCTAGTCAGCTGCTTAATGGCATGAACTCTGAAAGTTCCTTCACACATGAGTCTATTAAAGTTATTCCTAAATAGAATTATAACTTACATACATGACAAATCATACCATATTGAATCAGAATTTAATTACCCCTAATTTGAACTTACTGCCAAACTTGAATTATTTTGTACTTTCAGTAGCTATTCAAATAAAATATTTAAATGTCTTTGTTCCTAATTTTAAGTTAGGAATCAGAATTTTTTATTCCTTCATATAATCATAAAACCTCCTAGAAGTCTACAAAACTATACATATACTTCTACTTTGTGGACTCAGTTTAAATGGCATAACGCCACAAGAAGTTGACCTTAACTTAGAAACTATTCTCAAGTACACACCTGGTTAAACTTAAACTATCGTGTATATCACAAAGGAAATTTTCACTACACATATTAGTAAACTGCCATTAACTACTTGCATAAAATTACAAACTCTTATTAAAATTTTCTGAAGTAAAATTTTGAATATTACAAATAGTATCTTCTTAATAAAAGTTATTTTACTGCTTAGCTTCTTTAAAAATCAACACTGATTTTTAAGTTTATTTTAAGCTGTGGTTAATAGCAGGTTTTCCTTTCTGTGTAGCCCTTACAAATACGCTCCATATTATAAAAAACAGTCCTGACTACACAGTGGGTTTAGACTTACCCATAAGTCATGTTCTGCATAATCAAACAGCAGCCACACTTTTCTGTCACTGTGAGAAAGGAACACCTTCTGCAACGCGATCACATTAGGGTGCTTCAATTCTCGCAAAAGCTGAATACAAGAAAAAGATCACTTCTGTTAGTGAGAAGAGGGAAATGATGAACTTCTTATAATTTCAAAACGAATTTTTTCAAAAATTTAGAAAACACAGGTAAGCAAGATTCAAAAAATAGTGTCCAAATTACCAATAATCAGAGATAAGCTCTGTCCAGACTTGGTACGTATCTTTTGATCCTTTTTCTATGTGTGTATGTTCCTTTTATAAAAAATTTTAAATGGTACTAGACAAAAGTACTACTGTATAATTAAATAATTAATTAAATTTGGGTACATCTGCACCTTTTTTATTAGAGAAACAGCTTCTTCCCCCAACCCTGGGGAAAGTGCAAATGCATACCACAAATTCTACACATTTCCTACACTTGGGGAAATCTCAGAAGTCAACACATCTGGACTGCCATGGATAAGCTTTATCCTGGGAAAACCACCTTCATGATCATGGTCTCTCCCCTGCCAGGTAAATACACGAAATTTCTGCCTTCTTGGGAGGCAGAAATCATGTATTTGTACTGTTTACATCTACTCTAGCACAGTACTGGTGCATAATATTTGACAAAAGGAGATTTAACAATTCCTACACTTACTCATGCCTACAGTAGTGGCTAAGGCATTTTAAAAGAGCAGTGAATATAAGTAGTAAACTGATATATAATAAGCCCACTGATAAAAACTGGAGTTATAAGGTACTACAGTTTGGCTCCTGAATGCCCCTCGAAGTCGCATGTGTGGAAGGATTTGGTGCCCAACCTCTGTAGCTATTGGGTGGTGGCGGAACCTTTAGGAGGCTGGGCCTCATGAAAGGAAGGTTGTAGTGATGTGCTCTTAAAAGGGATACTGGGACCCTGGCCTCTCCTCTCTCTTCCTCTCTTTCTTTGCTTCCTAGAAGTCATGAGGTGACAGACTCTGCCATATGCTCCTGTCATAATGTACTATGCTGTCAGAGGCCCAAAACAACAAAACCAAGCAACCATAGGCTGAAACCTCTGAAACCACAGGCCAAAATAAGCCTTGTCCCTTATGAAGTTGATTTACTCAGGTATCAGACTGAGATAATCAGTCAACTAACACCAAGGCGATCCTGGAAATAGAAAAAAAGGTGGGGGCCTTAAGAAATCTCTGAGCTAGCCAGGTGTGGTGGCGCACACATGTAATCCTAGCACTCAGGAGACTGAGGCAGGAGGATCGTTTTGAGTTCAAGACCGGCCTGAGCTACAAAGTGAGCTCAAGGCCAGCCTGAACTACATAGCAAGACCCTGTCTCAAAAAGACAAAACAAGAAATCTCTGAGCCACCCTAAGACAATAAAAAGAGGAAAGACAGACCACATTAGCAAGTGAAAACTCAGCACTTGGTACATCATAGAAAGTTGCTTGATAAAATATTTAGTAACGACATTAACCACTCAGGTAAAAAGCCTTATAAATATGCCTGCCTCAGACTGTCCTTAACCAGGGTTCGGATTTAATAGGTAGAAAGAAACATTCTCAGTTTGATAAATATTTTAATGCCTTAAATGTAAAGCTTCCCAAGCATGTGAGCACATGCCTGCAGTCATAGCACTTAACAGGCTCAGGCAGGAGGGTCCCAAGTTTGAGGCCATCCTAGGCTACACAGCCAGGGCCTGTCTCAAAAAAAAAAAAAAAGAAGAAGAAGAAGAGGAGGAAGCTCTGTGGAAGAAACAAAAAAGAAAAAAGGGTCTGATCCAAAGCACTTGAAATGCAAAGGAAGAAAACTTTTATTCAATATTTTATTACTTTTAATATACAAAAGTATTATATGCAAGTTCCTTTCCTTCAGTTCTAAGAATAACACTGTAAGATTAACTTGACCAACAAAACAAACAGCTAGAGAGACGGGATGGACTTAAACAGATCTGCCCACTACAAAGTCTATGTGTTTCCCACTACAGCTAAAGTCCTTGTCTTCAGTTCTTACAGTATGGTAGGAAAGACAGACATAAATACAGCAATGAGGCAAATAAAAATAAACTGCTTACCCATTCTAATACTTAGAAATAAAGTACATTTTGCCTATGCTGGAATCATGTAAAAATCATCTGAACTCCACCTGTGAAATTTTTATATACATACAACTTCTCAGTTGTTTATTTATTTACTATTTGCAATGACAGAGTTCCTCAGTTCTCTCCTTCCGGTACTATACCTCAGCTGTCTCTGTTCATCTACACTTCAGTGATCTTGCTGAAAGTGCTCTGCCAGCTGCAGACCAGGCATGAACCAAGGATATGACTCTCCAGGTTCTGTCCCCAGCCCACACGCCCTGGAACACAGGGAACAGGTAGGAACTCAGATGGGCTGGGCAGTTCCTAGCTCACCTTCTACTGTACTTTTGACAATCAGCCTCAGGACACTTTTTCCTGTTGGGTCTAGGTAGGAAAGGCAGAGATGGACAAGAAAAGACCAGAGAAAAAGTAACAGTCCCGCACCTGGGGTACGGAGGTGGAAAAGCAAGGGCTCCACTATAAACTGCTATCTCTGCTGCTACTGCTAAGATCTGTTAAGCAACCCCTTGCTTCACATGCAAGTGTTACCCCTAAGTTCCAAAGTAATGATGGAATCAGTGAAAGGTGCACTGTGGAGAAATTCACAGCTATATCTGCAGTCTCTTAACTTCTCTCCTTAAACACGTCTTCAAGGTGCACCTGTGTCATAGAGTGTATCAGAATTTCATTTCACTTTAGGCTGAATAATAGCCCACTGTATGTATGTATACCACATGTTGTTTATCCACCTGTCACTCGCGGACTATTTTGTTCCCACTCTTAATTACTATGACTAGTACTGTCTTGAATCCTGATGTACAAATGTGCGTTTGAAGCCTCACTTCAATTCTGTTCATTGTATGCCCAGAAGAGGAACTGCCACGGAGGTCATCTTTTAATACGACATACATGAAGGGACAGTACTGTATTCTAAGGAGTAACATGGCGCCTGAACACTGGACGAGCTTTTTTAGTTATCTCATTTAGTCTAGGGTCTTTGGAGTAACAGGTGTACACATGAAGTCCCAAATGTTTCCTTCTAGTCTACTCATTCCTGAACTCCAGTTTTGCCTATCTAGGTGCCTCACATCTGTACTGGAATGACTAGAGGTCAAAACTGAGGCTGGGGTCTCTATCGCTCCTGCTCTCTCTCCTCTTTCCCATTCACAGCAAGTCCGTTGTTCCAGTCAGTCAGGCAAAAGACAAAAACAAAGGAGCATCTCACTGCTCTTCCTCTGCTCTCAAATAACCAACACCTCGGGGAGTCTTCCTCAGTCCTGTTACACCTACGTAAGCTTTTCATCTACAATTTGAAAGAGCTCCGAACACCATGGCTGTCTACTGACTCATGTCACAGGAAAAGATTTCTACTTCAACAGAATAAAATGGGTGGTCAAGGGCACGTCACTTCAGTACCTGATCCGGATTCCGCAGAAGCTGTGCCTTAGCTCTGCATCATGGACAAGTGGTAACAATGCAGAATGAATTCTCGACTACAGACACATACATTCTGTGCTGTGTAGTAGATGTTCACTGACTTTCCTCCTCTCATCATGGAGAAAGCTAGTTTTGTCTCAATTTGGACATTCATTCCAATATCCCTGATCTGTAAGTATGTCTTACTATGAATTGATTATAACATCACCTTGGTTACTTCCTTTTTTACTTTTATTGAAAATTATTCTTTAATAACCACTGTGCAGAAGTATCTCACACGAACTAACATGAAGATGTTTACATATTATTTATTGTTCATCAGTCTCCATTAACACACAAGTTTTATACAGGCAAAGATTTTGGTTGGTTTTATATACCTAGTACTTAAAATGGCTCTTAGCATATAATAAGCACTCAATAATAAGTATTTGTCAAATGACTTCGGTGTTTTTTTTGAGACATGGTCTCATTACATAGTCCAGGCTGGTCTAGAACTATGTAGCCGACACAGCGAGTTTGAGGCCAGTGTGAACTAGAGAATTCAGTATATAGCCCAAGCTGGCCTTGAACCTGCAGCAATCATGCTGCCTCAGCCTCCCAAATGCTGGGATTGCAGGCGTGGGCCACCACACTCAGCTTATCCAATGAGTTACTGAACTTACATGGCTCTTAAACAATAAACTAGTAATGGCTTATAACATAAAACGCTGTTCTTTTTCATAAAGTATCCCCTTTTCAAGCGTTTTGAATGATTCTTTTTTCAGTTAACATATACTCTACCAGAAATATGACAGTGCTGCTCTAATGTAAAGAACAAGAAACACAGCTCTGGATTTTCTAGGATAAAATACTTAACATGGTGTACAACCTGAAAAGCAAAGGAATGCTGTAAGAGTGTTTCCTGAAAGAGCTGTTAATGCAATTAATGCTGCAAAATTCTAAAGAAAATGACACATAAGAACAGGACAAAAGGAAGCATACTAACAAACAATAGCAGAAATCAGCCTAGCATACTGATACATGCCTGTCATCCTAGAATTCTGGGAGGATCACAAGTTTAAGGCCAGCTCGGGCAACTTAGTGACCCACCTAGATCATCTCTCTACTTAAAATTTTTTTTAAAGGGCTGGGGATACAGTTCAGCAGGAAGACCAGTTCAGTGGGTTCAATCTCTAGTACTGCAAAAAATAAAAACATAAGAAAATCAAAAATTAACCCAATGAGTGGATAAAATGCTAATCCCTAGATAAGCATATTTACTACCCCATATACTGAAACAAGCAACAAAAAAGTAACTTTTCTGCCACTATTTAATGAAATAAGCAAGTGAGAAATAACAATAAACTACCTAAACATCCAATAAGAAAGCAGAGTGTATCTACATATTGTAGTCTCAAATATATACACTAAAAATTTTTAATTATATAAAAAAACATGGTATATTATGATATAATAGAAAAGGCTACAAAATATTAAATGACACATTTATAAAGTAGGAAATACACTAAGACATTAATAGTGATTATTAGTATAAAATGTGGGATTTCTTTTTT